TCCCTTCGCATTTTTTCGAGAGCCAATTAAATTTTTCTTATCTCATTAAAAAATGAATCTGCATCGAGAACATTTTCGTGCTATGATTTTTTACGATTTTAAATGTGGCTTACAACCTGATGAGTCGTTTGATGGATTTCGAACTGCTTTAATGGACGGAGGACCTTCAAAAGCAACCATCTACCGCTGGTGTAGCGAGTTCAAACGCGGTCGTCTTACTTTGGGGGATGAACAAAGGAGTGGTCGTCCTACGACGGCTGTCACCGAAGAAAGTATGCAGGCAGTAAAAAAATCATTCAAGAAAACAAACGAATTACGTACGAAGAGATTCAGCATACTCTGCAAATTGGTTCAGGAAGTGTTCACATGATTTTGCACGAGCACTTTTGCTTAAGGAGGATAGTTTCCCGCTGGGTGCCGCACAAACTCACCGAAGCTCAGAAGCAGGCCCGTGTGGATTGGTGCAGTGATATGATACAAAAATTTGATGCAGGCTCGTCACGGCACGTTTACGATATTGTGGCAGGTGACGAATCCTGGATTTATCAATACGATCTAGAAACAAAGCATCAGTCGACAGTTAAGCTCCACGCCAGTCAGAGTCTTGGAACACCCTCCTTACAGTCCTGATTTGGCTCCGTCTGACTTCTTTTTATTCCCTAAAATAAAAAATCAGCTTAAAGTGATACGGAAGAAGCGCTAGCAGCGTTTCAGAAGGTCGTGGAAGAGGTGTCTGCGGAGAACTGGAAAAAATGAATTTGAAAATTGGTTTAGACTTATGAAACTTTGTATAGACGCTGGTGGAGAGTTCTTTGAAAATATTCAATAAAAATATTTTTTTCATAGAAGTTATTTTGTCAGTTTCTCAAAACTTTCTGAGTGTCCCACGTACTTCAGCCTTTCAATTGAACATCCCACCACAACCAAAAGTTTATTAAGCGGGTATAAGATTTATTTTCATTACGGAATTTCTTGATTCGGTCGCTGCGCTCAAAGCCCGCGATAAAATCTATGCAATCGTTGAAAAATTAATATTTTATTATCTTGTATAATTGGACCCAATTCTAATGTTTGTATAAAGTTACACAACTAATAATACATAGGTAGTTAACAATATTAACAGGCCACGGGCAGCAGACCAACATGAAGGCAAGCCAACATTCGAACAATGTATTTGACAACAACCCACATATATTTTTATTTGTGCATGATATTTTTGTACGACAATTAGCCCAAACCATTTATGTTATTAAGTATAAATTCTCATATAAGTGAATGTAACTATTCTTATGAGAAAATAAAGTTCTTAAACCTCAAAAACTTACTAAATACATTCAAATCTATTTTTCAGTAACAGAGCATCGTTTCATTTTACTTGTATGAAATGAAAATATTGCATTTAATTTCTACATTTTGATAGGTAAGAAATTTTTTATTAAAGTAGAAAATATGCAACTCTGCAACTACTTTTGCTATGGCTGGAAATGTTGTTGCTTTATCCTAACGCTCTCTTATTTTATTACTGGATATCGATTATATTAAATCTAGCGACCGTTTGCGATTTCGTATGTGTTAACTTGAGTTTTTTGAGAATCCCTCAGGAACCTTACATTTTTACGGGATAATATTATCCTACGTCTCAATACATATAATAAATTAAGTGTAAGTCAAATTTCATCCAAGTCCGTTCAGCTGTTTTTGCGTGATTGAGTATCAGATATGCAAACTTTAATATTTATAATATTAGTGGGACAAGAAGTTAAAGTAACAAAAATAATTTTCATTCATCTCTAAGCATTGAAGTTGATTAAACAAAGATAACTCGCAATTTTGCCAACAAAAACTGATGACACTAGCGACTGTGAATCTTTGAGTAAGCCCCCAAGCTTGATGGGCTCTTTTCCTACATTTTCTTAAAACTTTATATGGAAAATAGCAGTATCTTCCTGCTCTGAAGCACGTCCGCGCTTCTTATCCGAGAGTGGAGTAATATTTTTTACATTACGTGCCTCCTTCAATTTATATGATGATGAATAAAAAGAGACGTGGATTGCGAAAAATAAAAGCACTGACAAATTATAAAATGATGCCTGAAAGAAATCTCAGTTCGAAATTAAGGATGAGCAGAGCAAATTTATGCAAAGACATGACTTAGAATGGTCTTGGAATTGAATTAATTAGGCATTTACATGAAGAAGAAGCATGTAGGTATAACATTTTCTAACGGATTTCATTTTTTTGGGATCTACATTTACTCCTATTAAGCATTTTGACTCTGACACTGATGTTTTTGAAACAATTCTCAGAACGTTGATCAATTATCGGACATTAACAGCCATTAACTAATAATAATGTAAAAAGGAGTCTCAAATGAAAGCTCTCTGATTAAAAGATTCTGTTATGTTTTCTTAAAACAAAATAAAATAGAAGGAAGACATTTTAAAACATTTTTTTAATGAGAAATTAGAATACTGTCTTTCAAAGGATACTGGATAAAGAAACACAAACATAATTTGACTTAGTAACAAGTTGACTTAGTAATTCCTACAATCCTTTTATGAGCATTGGTCGACTTTCGGATCAATTGAAACCCACGAATTGTCAATGTACGAGTAATTACTCCCGATGTTAATGCTATTATTAAATCCCCTGGATTTAGTTGGGAAAAGATAATTCTGATTAGTGTTGCAGCTTTTTTGGATTTTATGTAGGAATTTACCTACCCCAATACCTGTAAAGCAATATATGAGTACCTATTTATTTTGTATTGGTTGGTTTAGTCTCTCATTTTGAGCTAGGAACTCGTCTGGGGCTAAATTATTATAAGAAATTGTCATATCACTATTTTCAAACGTGTGATTCACTAACTGATTAATTTTAATTCACTGGCTTAGGCAATTGTCCCACTGCCGACAATGAATGAGAAGCGAGTAGAAATAGAAACTAGAAACGAGTTGACGATCTTCGAGAAGCGAGTCTGCAGTTCCGATAGGTTTTATGCTGGGCTATAAGCGAGTGTGCTAGACCGACGGATGATTACTCGTTCCACACGCTCATCGCGCTCACGGAGGTAGTTCTGAGCAAAAAAGCACGCGCGTGTGTGACGACAGCCCAGCAGGCATCGCTGAGAGAATATCGCTAAACAAGTTTTTTATTTTTGAAAGCTCTTGTCGCTCAGCGATAAACTTGTGGAGCGAGTTTTCGCCGCCAGTGTGTACAATCAGTGATCAACTATTAATATACCTATGAATCTTTTTTCTTACACGGAATGTTTATCTAATGTACGTTTCTTGAGCGAAAAAATAACCGATAGTTAGTCGCTTCCTTGCCAGCGACAGGACAACTGCCGTAAGCCAGTGGGACAAACTCAAAGCTATCTAAATATATAACAGAAGAAACACACTGACTGACTGACATATCATCGCACAGCCCAAACCGCTAGGTCTAGAGACTCTAAATTTGCCACGTAGGTTCCTTATGATGTCTAGGGGTGCACTAGGGAAGGATTTTTCAAAATTTACCCCCGAAGGGGTTTACATAGAGGATAGAAGTTTGTATGAAAAATCTTATTCCTTAAGTTAATAGACTTGAAACTTGGCACGAATACTTACCTAAATAAATTATACTTACCTAAATCAATTACAAAGTTTGTAATTTTTAGTTTTCCTAAAATACGCCCTAAAATGGGATTGGGAGAGATTCGAAGTGGATCGAATCTCTCCCAATCCCCTTCCGACCTTACAAAGCTATCACATTGTAAAGTAATCTTTTTACCGGTTATAAAACTTCTAGCCTTTTCTTGTGTCTGTGAAATGCCTTACGCATCCTTCAACCACCGAGGGAGCGAGAAGAAGGTATCTGGGACATATTACCTCCATCCTAGACAATCATTTTAGGTTTTGCATAATACTTTTGTAAGTTTCTTTGTTCTGCTCTTAAACCGATCTGAGCCAAGTGAGGATTTATGTATATTTTTACAATATAACTGGATCTTAAATTGCACTCATAATAATGCGCCGAGCACGTCTCGCTTTTTAATTTTAAATAACCCCGAATCTTACATGTTATTTATATGTTCAAATATAAAACCATCAACTGTGTATTTTTAATGGTAAGCAGATTGATGAAAAAACAAATTTGGTAAAAATTTGCTGCCTGAATCACTAAGTTCACGCAGACGAAGTCGCGGGCCAAAAGCTAGTTTGTTATATACCAAAAAAAGGTATAAGCTTAGTTTCAACTTACGCTGTGCTTATTTTATAAGTAATAGTGTTGCATATTGTTACCATACAATTTGACGTTGTGTGTGACAGAGTTTTGATACAACTTCATAGCGAAACTGAGTGTGAAACACAACAGGCGGTCGAACGCCGCGTAACTATTTTCGTAATACATTACCACCTCAAAGTGCTCATATAAAGAGCTCCCTTAATGGCATTTCACATGCAGCGGCGGCGCTGAGTTTAGAAGAAACTTTTATACGAATCGATTGGTAGTTTATTTGTACCTATAATTATGTCCAGTTCACTGAGTATTGTTTAATTTGGTATTGCATTTGAATCTTTATTGAGGACTTCAATACAGAAATAGAACCGTTGGCACCACGTGTCTTAGTACCTAATAAGTAGAAATAAGTACAACTAAGTATATATAATGTAACTGACGGACTTGTGGCGGCGACATCTATATGCCCCACATATAACTAACATGCAGAAAATAATCACTCGCCTCCTCAAGAGATTGCGCTACCTGCGCTGCGATCACAATAGTATGGAAGCCTACATCGCGCAAGTGAAATTCGGATGTTAACACTCGATATATACAATGCCCGAACAACATCAGTTGGGCCGCGGCCCCCGAACTACAATCATCCAGCTCGGAGGAAGATCTTCCCCTTTGGCCTTCCTATACTGGTGACCCCGACGTGATCACCAGTATAGGAAGTCCATAGAATTTCGTACACATTACCCCCGCCATCATCCCTAATAAGAACATCTCACCTCCAACTCTTGCGCCGAACGCGACCCCCACAGCGCACATGGAGTTGTTCGCAGTGGCCGCTACCTCCCCCGCACACCTGGTGCCGTGTCGGTTGGAGTCCACCAAATCGTACCGCGGCTGAGGATCGGAATCGTGTGAGTTCACGTCGTATGACGCCATCGGGTCCTAGAAAAAAAGCGTTTTATTATAGAATTATAGCTATAAATTTAAGAGAAGGTGCTGACCATCACTAACTATGAGATATTTAGAGTTGACTGAAGGAATAGTCAAGGTTAGCCATGCGACAGTAAGGCCTCAACCTATGTGCCTACGGGCGTTTTTATCGGTCAATAATATCGGATTCGTTATTGCGATAATGCACCCTACTACTATTGCGTCGTTATTGTCGCAGCAGTGTGTTAGTTCATAGCCGTTCTAATACATAATGTACTAAAACAGATATCGCAATAAGCATCCGATATTATCGACTGATAATAACGCGCTTATGCGGAAAGGCCTAATACGCCTCGCATGCGCTCGGGCACCAACATATCACACTCGTGCATTAATAACTCACTTTGCGCTCGATGCAATAATCTACTATTATTAATCAGCACTTTTTCGGGATAAATACTATCCTATGTCTCTCAACACAGGTAATAAACTATATTAGTCATATTATATTTCATCCACGTTCATCACGTTTCATCACGATCTGTCGTTTTTGCTTGATACAGTAACAAACAAACAAAACACAAACTTAATAGCTATTAACGGGATTGTTACCCTGAACCTTGTTTTTTATGAGTCTTCGATATTTCGACACTGTTACAAGCGCCATGATCATGAAGTAACTTCGTCCAACAGCAACAGTACCAGAAAATCACGGAGTAAGGCTGCAGATAGTTCAGTCATAGCAGATTTATGTTTTATTAACTAGGACTTAACGTTGAAATTCTTTTTGAGTAACATAAATCTGCTATGACTGAACACTTATTACGCGGCCACAGCGCGGTGACGGCGCGGCAGCCGTGCTGTCGCCGTACTGTCACCGCGCGGCCGCCACGCTGTGACATTCTGTGTCATATAAACGCGCCCTTAATCCGTGATCATGGCGCTTGCAACAGTGCCGAAATATCGGAGACTGTTACCCTTAACTTTGTTTTGTGCGAGTCTCCCATATTTCGATCAATTGCACTATTGCAAGTGCCATGATCACGGATTAACTCCGTGATTTTCTGTAATAATCCCGTTTATAGCTATAATGTATAAGAAGGGTAATAAGTTTAAATCATCTAGGAGTAAACTTACTTAATTGGTTTAACGAATCGTTTCAATATTAAAACTGAGAAAAAACTAACTTAGTTCAAAGTTGAGCTGTTGTCACTATTCTGTTCATAATTATTTTTTTTTTTTATTTAAAATACCCATTTCTACGTAGTAAGTTTCCACAAAATCAACAGTAACATCGCGTTTTAGTAAATTTTCTTTTGAGCATAAGGAGCAGTCATACAATACTTTATGCTTATTCGTAAAAAGAATTATATTTTTTTAGTAAGCGACACTTTGGCGCTTCTCCCGAGTTCTTCTCAGTTTTAAGGTGTTGTTTACAGCCGCGACCCAATTCTACTCAGTTACCCGAACGCAAGCCAGTGAAATTAAAGCTGGCGAGATGAATCGTGTAATTTGAAACCGGGCTTTTGTTCGGATGTCACTCCGGCCCTTTCGCCGTGGACTAAAGTGCCTCCCTTCCCTCGTACCATCTTAACCCAAATCGACGTTTGGAAATGCGAGTATTGGAGTCGAAAGGAAAATCACCTATTTGTGTGTTGACTGTTTTTATTGGTTAAGTACGAGTAAGTACTGATAAAGACGATAGGTAAAAAAAATCCTTTGCTTTTCTAAACAAGTAATTAAAAATAAACGTAAAAGGTTCAACGATCGTTTAAATATCTTTTTTTGTTTTTCTTCTGCTTGTAAATAGGAAAATTTGATTATTCTTAGATTTTAAGAAATTGATACTTTTAAATATACATAGAAACTAGTCACCCACTCTCGCACGGTGTTTGTTCTCGGGCTTGTGATAAAATTTACATTTTGTGAAAAATTGTACAACTAAATCTAAAGAAAATTTTACTAGAAAAAAACCGTGTGCGTCTCGAGAGGCTCGACAGAAGTGATAACTTAAACTATGCTAACGCTGCCGGTTAGGGTGGGACAGGAGGAGCCTACCTACCGCTGCCGTCTGCGTGAAAGGAAGGAAAGCCAGACGGACTGGCGCCATAACGCGTTACGTAACGAAGCGGTTTACCCTCCCATAAAAAAGGAGTTATCACTTCAAAAATCCACTCAGTCTAAGTTTCAGAAAAAAAATCTTATGATTTAAAAGTCATCAAAATCTATTTTCCAGAAAAAGACGCTGGAAATGACTTTACTTTATACTACATCCAGATAAATCACAAATTGGCAAAGGTCGATGCACTGAAAACATAACATCAGAAACGGACTAGCACCATAATATCACCTCGTTACGATACTATTAGGGTGCTAACTTGTGTACAATAAGGATGACGACTTACTTATTTTTCGCTTTAAACTTTGACGTGATTTTATATTTGCAATTTCATTTTGGTTCATTGACGAAAGTAAAAATAAATGTCTATTATTTTTTGATAATCTAACTGACGGACTAAATACAATTTCATTTAGTTTACCCCGTTATCATCCCTATTAGGGTAGAGAGATTTCATGCGAAGAATACTCAATAGTTCGAATTTAGGCAGTGCTATTCTGTTTTATTATACCCGATTTGTATACCCCAATCCCAATCTTACAGGTAAAGTAAATCAGATTCAACGTAACAATATAACATTCCGTTGAACTAGTTATAGTTGAGTGCCTGTTTAAAACGTTGCCGAAACAGCTCTGAATATTAAATTACCTACCTCTGGCTTCTATTTGTTTCGCGTTCGGATTTTGTAAATTCCTCTCACTAATGAGTTTCGTCGTGAATTATCCCATTTGCATGTCTGACTTTATTTGGAAATCGTTAAATGTTAATTTGCACAGTAAACTGTCAATAGTTTTGAAGATCTGGTAAATTCGTTTTAGATATTTACACACAGCGCAGACTAGCTTATTGAAAGAAACTAGCACGATTACTGTAATTACGTTTGAATATTTTATTTTAGTTGACAAATCTATTATTATGCGACGAATCAACATTAGTGTCGAACAACACACATCTTAACGTATATTAACGTTTGTAGTAATTCTATAAAACACATTAATGGCACGTGACGCGACTATAACACGTTGTATGTTGTTCGACCCTAAGATGTTATTTGTATAGTAAACATCGTAGGTATGTCCTGAGCTCGAACTCGTCTGGGGGGGTGGCTCAGCGCTCATCGTAGATATGTCGTGAGCTCCCACGCGTCTGGGGGGATGCCTCGGTGCTCCCGGGCATCCCCCGACAGCAAGGAGGAGGAGGAACCTCTGCCGGAGGTAACGTGGAGAGTCTCATGATCCCATGAAACTCGTTCCGACAGACGAGGGAGCACTGTAAAGTTTTAGTGGGTAGGGCACCTTCCGGGATGAGCGGGATGGTGGGGAAGTCCCACATAACCTCGTCTGTCGCTCGGAGGCGAGGTACGCGTAACGCATTTTCCTTACATAAAAAAAATATGTCGTGAGCTTTGTTTTCCCACCTGTAATGTGATGAACATTTACACTGTTGTTACACTGTTGTTATTATACTATTTGCATATGCATGAAGTGCCATTCCTGTGCTGGTATTAAACTTCGTTCAATTAAAAGTTATCTCAAGCCAGAATCAAGTTCATATCTGTGTTACATTAGCTTGTAGTCCGGATCTTCTGTCTCTAGGCTAATATGGTATTTAAGAGATAAACCGACTAAAGATGTCTTTCCGCCACGCCGAAATCTAGTTTGTATCTGTGTTACTGACATTATTGGCTATTAGGTTTGTCTCTAGGCCGTCATATAATCTGGTGACTACGACGCCCCAGCCGGTGATACCTTCCCGCCCTGCCGGAATCTAGTTTGTATCTGTGTTACTTACATACCTAATTGGCTATTTAATCGAAACTATCCGTAGTCATCATATAAGTTATTGGTCTCATAGAGTGACCACGAAGCTACCCCTGAGCCGGTGATGTCCTCTCACCACAAAATAGTAAATGTAAAGAAAAGTTTTACTAGAAAAAAAATCCACGCGGACCAGGCAGCGGACGGGACTCGAACCCGCACCCTTCGCAATCCGGGCGAATGCACTAACCAATTATGCTACCACGGTCCTTATTGCCGCGTCGAAATTTTTATAGCCTTAAGCTGCAAGGCAGCGCCATCTCTTCGCATTGTAGGTAACCCACAATGTCACATGAATACTTTTTCAAGTGTTAAACATTTGAAAGAAGAATTAGCAATTATAGTTTGTGTTTATTTTTTTCCAGTAAAACTTTTCTTTACTTTTAAACATCTAGCAGTTAAATGCTTAAAAAATAAATAAAAACAAATCAAAATAGTAATTTCGTATCTGTGTTATTTTCATAGTTGGCTATTGGTTCTAGATATTCTATTTGTGGGTTACTTACAAAATTAGATCTGGATGGTCTGTCTCTAAGCCGTCATCTAATATACGAATAGTGACCTAGGCGCACGGCCGGTGATACCTTCTCGCCACGCCGGAATCTAGTTTGTATCTGTGTTACTTACATAGTTGGCTATTGGTAGGTTACTTACATAATTGGCTATTAGATCTGGATGGTCTGTCTCTAGGCCGTCATCTAATATGGTGACCACGACTCCCCGGCCAGTGATACCTTCCCGCCACGCCGGAATTACGTTCATGTCCAAACCTCCTCCCCGATTCTGCAGAAAAAAGGGGCAAATATTAAGAAAATATAAAAATTTTGTAATTTGAAATTTTATCGATTAATTTGAATATTGTCGTATTTTATATTACGTTTCACATCCATAAAAAAAGAAACTCAAAATTATCTATGGAAATCAACAGAATTTTTCAATCAACTGAAGGTTTATGAAAAAGAAAACATGTTAGAAATTCTACAATAATATAATTGGTTAGTAACAAATTGATATTTTTTTATTTAAGTACTGTAAGTTTTGACGTCTAAGTGTTTAAAATAAATTGTGAAGTGATATTGCCAATAATTTTGCAGACGGTCGAAATGTTATTATTACTTATCAAATCTAGCAAAACAATACGAGAGATGGAGAGATATACAAAAAGCGTTCGCTCCAAAACAAATGAACTTAACTCAAAGTTCCAACAAAGCAAGAAGGGTTGGAATTAGAACTTATATTGTGTTTTATAGAATACCGAGTAATTGGAGGCGAGGCGTGTATGTTTGTCAAATCTCGTTTGCTCTTGTAACAAGATCAAGGTTTTCATGACATACAACATTTTTTCTTTTTACGTTACTTTACTTTGGTTACGTGTCGTAAAAAAAACCCTTTTTTCGAGGTTCTTTGCGGTTTGCAAATGAAAATAAATAATCTGTAACACATACGAACCGTTTCGTTACCAGGGAAAATATTAATGCATGTTTTTACTGGTCTCTAAATGAAAGAAAAATATTTTACGCATGAGCTTTTAATATTAGCTGTAAATATTTGTTCAGGAGTTATGGTTCTTTTTTTATTTATGTATTCTATTTATTAATTAATTTAAAGGTAATAAATCGATAATTAAATCCGTTGGAGCTTATTACACATTCATCATCATCATTATCAGCCTATTAATGTCCCCACTGCTGGGGCACAGGCCTTCCCTAAGGATGGAATAGGGAGATTGGGCCATGACCCACCACGCGGGCCCAGTGCGGGATGGTGGGTTGCTAACGACTGCAGATGCAACCGGGACCAACGGCTTAACGTGCCTTCCGAAGCACGGAGGAGCTCGAGATAGTAAATTTTCGGTCACCCATCTAATGACTGACCTCTGCGAAAGTTGCTTAAATTCAACGCTCGCAGCGGAACGCGCTAACCATTTGCGCCACCGAGCTCCTCACACACATTGGACCACATCAATGATGAAGTAACATCATCATCATAATCAGCCGATGAACGTCAACTGCTGGACAAAGAAGGCATCTGGGATTTCCACAATGGTCCTGCGGTTTCCGCATCCAGTGGGTCCCCCTCAATCCAAGTATGCCATGGAACAGCCTTGGGACCCCAACGTCTATCGATTCGCCGAACAAAATACCCACCCTTTGCTATATCGGTCACTCTAGTACTTCTATGGATTTCCTCATTCCTGATACGTACCCTCTAATTTAGAACATATATAAAATAAAATGTATCGATTTTTTGAAAAATTTGTAACGGTTATCTAGATGGGAGAAATTGCAATGAAATTATCTAGTCATAATTGAATTCTCCGGTTGTTTTTCTTGATTAACATTTGAAAACACAAATCAGTGAATTCATAATAAACATGCCAAAATTGTACTGAGTCATAAAAATGAAAAAAGACAGTTTCTCAAAATAAATTCAGAGCATTGACATGTAACCTTGACCTAAGTTTTTTCATGTCCTGGTCCGTACCTAAGATATGAATGTGAGGTCTTGACTAACGGAAAGTTAAGAACAACGACAATAGTTGACTTACCAAATACCACATATGAGGCCACTTGGGGTCGTTCAACTGGAACTTGGAGTCAGCGGCTCTGGGCCGGCCCTTCACGCGGCTCTGATGCAGCTCTCGCTTCGACCCTGTCTCCCTTTTGGACGCTGACGAAGGCATCAGTGCGTCCGATAACTTCGTCTCAGCTATTGACAAATAAAAAATATATAATTTCAAAACCAAATAGTTACAAACAAAGAAATCTATCGGCCGAATTAAGACCTCCTTTTTTTTGTAGTCAGTTAAAGGAGGATAAAAAGATACAGTTCCGCTAATGGTAAGTGTGTATCCATTGCTAGTGATTACTTTCTCTTTGCGTTACACCAAAGGGAATGTGAGTCGTAAATAATCCGCTTCTTTAAAATACGTATGCACAACGATACTTAATTAAACAACGCAATTCCGACACTGCTGACAACTTGACAGCTGACAACTTATGCATTACCATCAGATTTTCTGATGGGTACATTGTGAGTTAACGCGATGAGCCAGCGTAGCAAGCTCTCATCATCATTATCACCAGCATATTAATGTCCCCACTCCTGGGCCAGAGGCCTTCTCTATGGATGGAATAGGGAAAGACGCCCCACCCCGGACCCAGTGTGGTTTGGTGGGTGCTAACGGCAGATGCAGCCGGGGTCAACGGCTTAATGTGCCTTATGAAGCATGAAGGATAAGTTTTTAGTCACCCATCCAATGGCCGACCATTGCGAAAGTTGCTTAAGTTTCATGATGACAGGTCAAACGCGCTAACCATCTGCGCCATCGAGCTCTTCTTTGCTATCGAACTTAAAGTATGTTGTGACTATATCTAATTAGGTGCAATAAGTACTAGTAGTTTGAGTTTATGCTTTGTCCTCATTCGCTCAGCAAGAAAAGTTTTGTTATTAATCTAACTAAAGTCTCGCTAAAATCACTTTATTGCAGTGCTACTCTTACGAATTCGTTCCTTTCTAAAGCACATACAAACACTGGTCAATTTAACGAAAACTGTAAAAAAACCGCCATCCATTTTGTGCATTTTCTAACTTGAGATAAAAATATAATTGAGAAATATTTTTTTTTCATACTAAACGCAATTTATTACCCCACCCCACCTGATGTTAAGTGAAAGTGGAGACCAGATAGATGATACGGCAGAAAGTGTGACGCTCCAGCCATCCTCAACTTGCAGGCCTGAACCCAATTCCCTAACCCGCGGAACTCAGAACCCTACCCGCCAGCAGAAATACAACACCGCCAAAAGGTAGTGTTATTTAACTATGCTCTTTTGTAAGGTGCAGGTTGCCAATTCGGGAATTCCGCTGTGCTTTCCTTCCTTTCTAACAAATTATGTGTTGTACCCAGTCAAACCAATGGATGCTCCAGGCCTATGATGTTGATAATATATAACCTTTATTACCTGTGGAAGAGAGGTCTGAATACTGTATAGGTAGGTAGTCCCTCTTTTTCCTGGAGAGAGCCCGCTGTTGTTTGGCCCACCGCACCCGGGAGTCTCCTTCTAACTTCCCGTGGTGCTCGTGCGCAGGGGTCAACGACCTCTTCGATATGGAATTGTGATGGAAGTGGAAGTGATTCTCGAATATCTGGAACAAGAAAAATTAAATTATATTAAAATTATTGCATTTAGGTTTATAAGTGAAAAGTGCAATTGTGATTCCGTAGAATTTTCGCAAAAGAATATATTTTTTTCGGATCTTTGACTGGCGTGCTGAATTTTTTCAAGTATTCCGTAGGTCGTAGAGGACTGAAAGGCAATGCCATTACTTTACAAAGCTTTTTGTTATTGCTAGTTGGCTAGAAGCCAGAGAGCCAGATTACACGGTACGATAGATAAAAAATGGATTTTAAATGTCAGAATTAACTTCAACCCCTTTAGCTTTAGAATTAGCTTCAACCATAATGGAGTTTTAATGTTTATATTAACTATCTATTTGATATGGTAAATTTTATCTCGTCTACAATAATTTTTACAAGTTAATCTAAAAAAAAGGTGGGGTAATATCTAAACAATGGGTAATTTTTTTAAAGGTAATAATCTTATTGTATATGTATAATATTCCCGAATATTTGTTTTAAACCGAACAATTAATAAATACTTATGTACTGACACAAAAATATTAAATTGAATTTATCAGTGCAAAGATGTCACACCCGCCTTTTTTATTTTCAACTGCAATTGAACCACAAGCACATACTCGTAACTCCTAAAGGGATAATACTTAATACAATTTTCAACCATCTATATTTACGCTTGTAAAATTTTCATAATATAAACATTTTAATTCGGCACAACAATGATGGGAGCCACTTCCGAAACTGTGAACCACGACGAAGCTTAATTAAACCGTGGCTTCTCTGTGAACGAAATAAATGCTATTTTACTCTCGTAAAAGTTGCAATATCTACCACTGTTCAATTTGTGCAAATTGAGCGAATATAAATTCATTGTTATTTATGTGCTGCGGCAATTATTACTATTAACAACCCATTTCGTGATTACGTGTTTAAAATGTTAAAGTAAATTTACCGTGTGCACTTTTACTGTATATGTATGAGAGCAATTTTAGCTTAATGTGCCGTAAAACGCTTTATTTGATTGATATAACATTTAGGAAATTAATACCATTGTTGTGCAATGGATGTATGTTTGTAATTCTATGTAAAGTAGGGGAATGTCCCCGAATCCAGGCTAACATTATAAATACAAGTAGTCAAGACTGTCACGTTCTTGCTGCTCAAGATTTCTGAACCGATTTTGTTTTTGTTATTTTCGTAAAGTATAGTATTTACCGGTTTAGGCAAGCTAATTTGCCAAAACAGCTAATATGTATAATTTTGACTGTTTTTTGGCAGGCCAAGGTTACCATTGTCCCGAAAATAAAAGTTGTAATTTAATACAAAAGTGAAAATTTGTTCAAGCTACTTTATAATTTCTCAAGGTGCTATTATAAAAAATCATTCTTATACTATTTACACACATCCGATACATACACATATAATGCGGCGGCTTCTAAATGGAGAAAATGCCAAGTGCTAGACATGCCGATCCAAGAGACATTGGACCAGCTCCCATCCTTGCGCTTGCCGATTACATCTCCCGTCTGATGTGAAGCACTCCATGAAACTTGTTTTAGAATGAGAGAGGCGTGGCGTTATTCTTGGAACAACTTTTATTGTTACCATACCCAACAAATAAGCTGAGAGGATGGAATATTCAACGTACATTGTGGTTCAAACTGAACATATTTATAACGGGTACTGCTTCAGAATGACATTTTGGAATAATAATACATATTTAAAAAAATGTGTTCCTTCTTATTATTTAAATTAATAAATCTGATGGCCGTGTCGAATTTTCTCCAGGCTCAGGCTACAAAGCAGCGCCATCTCTTCGCATGGTAAGTAACCCACAATGTCAAATGAATGTTTAGTTTTTAATTTGGTGGTTTACTTTAAACAATGATTTGTATGCTTATTATTTTTATGTATGTCTTATTAAAACAGAAATTCATAATTTACTGCATCTCTCATTTTCGTCACGTCTAAATGTATATCTCTTCGGATTTATGCCAAAACTAAATAGTTAAAAGAAGTGTCTAATGTATAAAATTATAAAGTTTAATGTGTTTTTCAAGTTTTATAGTTGGTACATATTTGTACCGATTTAAAGAAAATTAAAAATTGTGACAGAAGTTATAGGAAGTCGTGAAAATGACTGATAAGAGGTAAGAGAAAGATTTTCCTTTTGAGATACGAAACCCTTAAAATCAAAACAGTTGCCAGAAATATGTTTTGCGTCAATGTCTGCTATTTCAGCTTCATGTAGTTTTGCACAATTTTGAAACAAAATTATTGACGTGTTAATAGTGTGTGTGATGACATGTCAAGTAAATCAAGTTTAGATATTATTTATTTATTTATTTGTATCGTATGTAATGTATTGTATGTATATAATACGACTGCATTTTACCGGTCCGCTTCAGTATAATACAAACTTATAGCTGTGAACGTCAACGGGGTTTGCGCGGGATGACTGACAGTACCCGTCACTCATTTCCCCTGCTTCACCCCCTCAAATACCTAAACTACCGCTATACACGGCATCTTAAATAAAACTAATTATTTGAAGTGTACTACCTCATTAAATTAAATACATTTATATTTTATATAATCTGTAAACAAAAGTTTGTACTTAAAATTTAAATTGGATTAATATACGGACGCGTTTGGGCCTATTTATTCAGATATAAATGGTTATTTGTAGTGTAATCAACGACCACTTAAAATTAGTTTAACACGAGTTATTTGTGCAATTTTAATTGAATTGAATCGTTTATTTGAAACATTATTCAAATAAGCAGTGTTTCGCATTTGAACGCATTTGAATGTAGATTATTAAATAAATTGTATACCATATTTTCTACTTAATCTAGTACTTCAAATAGATAGATGATGTTAATTAAATAACTTGGATGTACCTATCTAATAATAAATGAAGACTTATTAGTAGGTACTGGATCGCCTTTGTTATTTCATTTTAAGTCACATAGTCTGTCACTGTTAAATTACGAATTCTCCGGAACAGTTTTATGAACTACTAAAATTAGGTTTAAGGTTTATAACGTAGAATGTTCGCTACAGCAGTAGACACAAGCTTTGAATTAACTGTTATTAAACCAGTTGTCTGTGCACAATATCAAGTTCCCAGACGTTCCTCGAAATCATCTGTAATTTATCACTTTGTATAAAACCTACTTTGACCGATATGTTTGCTAGTATGAAACACCTACATAAGTTTATTTTCATACAAGACTCAGTTCATTCACGTTGAGTGAAGGAATCTTTATTGAACCCTAAAGTTCAACTTCAATCTCAAGACACACTTTATTACGATAAGAGTATATTAATGTGCGATGGGTAAAATAAATAGGTATTACGGTACAATTATGAGATACTACTATACGCTGTGCAAAATTAACTAGGTCTCCTCATCTGTTGTCGTGTAGCGGAAAAATAAATAGTTATATAATAAAAAAGGTGAAGGAAAAAGCAGAAGAACAGTTTAAGATATATATATATATATATATATATATATATATATATTTGTATACAGGGTGTTACAAAAATACAAATAAAGCTTGAAGGGTGTTTAAGTACATCATATAAGAAGTCTTCTCTAATTTTCTTAAAATATTTGCATGAAGTTTTAACTTTTTATAAAAACAGTTATTTTTAATGATTAATAAAAATATCGATCATTTTAAGACACGTAACTAGTTCGATATCATTAAAAATAACTGTTTTTATAAAAACTTAATAATTATTTACTTTTAGTCGTAATTTTTGTTTATATTATTTCTTGACAAAGTTGACGTCTTTGCCATAGTTACACGGATACTCTCTCCAACTAGCTCTATGCCTATTCAAAACCTCCACAGCCACCTACTTCTACTTTGATTCTTTTTAGTTTGATTCGAATCGTGTCTCAATTTAAATGGTTCCGGACCTATAAAAGGCCTAGCCACCCTGTTCTTTGATTCATTTCTTCGGCAAAAGTTACCATAATAGCTTTTGTTAGCTCGCTACCGAGATATAAATTAATAAAAGGCCTTGTCCCAAGCAAAGACCTCAGAGCTATACAGCACCTTTGGCTCTCTAAACTTTACTTTACTCGTCCTCTTCTCTATACTTCCAACCTCATCGGCGGAAGTGCCACCCGGTCTACAGCAGCATCGGCCAGCCTCCAGCTGCTTCGACCCGCCTACCACCGGCGCCTGCCGTTCCACCAGCAGTGCCGGGCGTCTCAAAACTTCGCCGGCCAACCGACCAGCAGCGCCCGCCAGCCACCACCAGGGCAGGCCAAGAATCGAGAGACGCCCGAACAGAAGCGCTTCTGCCTACCTAACTTTTTATAAAAACAGTTATTTTTAATGATTAATAAAAATATCGATCATTTTAAGACACGTAACTAGTTCGATATCATTAAAAATAACTGTTTTTATAAAAACTTAAAACTTCATGCAAGTATTTTAAGAAAATTAGAGAAGACTCCTTATATGATGTACTTCAACACCCTTCAAGCTTTATTTGTATTTTTGTAACAGCATGTCTATATTTATGCGAGAAAAGGAGCAAGAGCAAGTGTGAGAATGTGAAGTGTGGGGTTTGAAGTATGTAGTGGTGAAGTGGGCGTCGTTCGTCGGCTATTTTCAGTGAAGACTTAAGCGGGTGGCAGTGCTGCTGTCAGTCGGGCGGCGCTCTTGGTAGGCAGAAGCGCTTCTGTTCGGGCGTCTCTCGATTCTTGGCCTGCCCTGGTGGTGGCTGGCGGGCGCTGCTGGTCGGTTGGCCGGCGAAGTTTTGAGATGCCCGGCACTGCTGGTGGAACGGCAGGCACCGGTGGTAGGCGGGTCGAAGCAGCTGGAGGCTGGCCGATGCTGCTGTAGGCCGGGTGGCACTTCCGCCGATGAGGTTGGAAGTATAGTGAAGAGGACGAGTAAAGTAAAGTTTAGAGAGCCAAAGGTGCTCTATAGCTCTGAGGGCTTTGCTTGGGACAAGGCCTTTTATTAATTTATATCTCGGTAGC